GATAAAGAAGTTACTGCTGGTTATATATTAAAGTCTAGATCCCCATTCTTTTTAAGAATATAAAGACTGTCCTAAGAGTCTCTGCTTACATGTGAGGAGCTCAAACAAATCATCACAGAAATATTCTTCTCTGCAGTAGTAGTAATAATAGGTTCTTGATAAGTCAAACTGTTTTTATGAAGTGCCAGGTTCTTATCATGTTACCTCATTTACAATTCACAACAATTGATTAAGTAATTTGCTCAAGGACCCACAGTTTGGGGGCAGAACTAGTTGTCCGACTGTATTACACTATGTTTCTACAGATTAAGAGAAAAATATAGTCAGTGTAGGTTCAGAACAAAGTATCTGGGATAACCAGTGTTTCCCCATCCCTACCCCTCACCCCTTTCCTCCTAGAAATGTAGCCTCTTCTTGCTCCCTTCTTAAGCAGGTGGTCATAAACAGGGAGCATGGGGTACAATAAATCTAGAGGCTGATGACATGCTGCTATTCAAGAGTTGTAGGAAAAAAGAGCCATCCCGCTGGTTCAGTAAGTATCCTTGTTCTCAGGCTGTAGAGAGAAGACCCTCCTCTCTAGGTGGAAGGGAGATGAAGATGGCAGGGAAGGAGGCTACGTAAGGAGAGGAAAGCTCCTGCTACTTACCAGTGTTGACTCTGCAAACAAGAAATGTGCCACTGAGTTGGCTTTGACTCCTGGTGACTCTATGAATGAAGGATGTCACAAAATTCTCCAAATTTCTCTTACTCAACGAATAGGAAATGGGAGAAAACCAAACCAGTGTTGACAGTGCCCTCTCAGACTGAGTCCCTGTGTTCACCAAGGGCTGATAGGTTTACCTGGTTCTTTTTACTTTCCTGAAAACATAGTGTAGATATTATAACATCTTAATCCCTAGCAGCCACGTTGAACATAGTGCTGCCCTCCAAATGATTAGAGAGAGGAAAACTCGGGACTGAATTTGAGAAGTGGCTAATGAAAGAAGGGCTGATGGCTAATTTTCAAGTCCAGTCTCCCTCTCTTCCTTAGCTCCATGCTCATTTTCTGTGACTCCAAAAAGGTGGCAGACACGCTCTATTTTACATAACCACTAAAGATGATTCAGGCAAGAGGACCGTAAGGATGGCTGAAGAGTACAGTAATGCACTGATGGCAGGGACTTCCCTATTTTCTAATATTCCTTCTTCCGGTTGGAGAAGTGAAAGTGTCAAAAGCTAGGAATGGAAACTAGAGCCCAAATGTTACTACCACCATCCCCCATCTACTTAATAAAGTGATGGATGAAGAAATGGGATGTGGAGAATAGCAGAGGATTAAGGACCTTAGTGGAATTAGGTCTCTGAATAAATCATTATAAACAATACATTATTAAACATAAATCATTAATGTGTTTATTTTACACCTACTGGTTTCTAGCACTGCTAGATGCTGCCGTTTTAAAATATACCGTGGGAGACTTATAAAAAATAGCCAAACTCTACATAATTTTTTAAAGCTTTGTGTAATTGTATAATATGATTGTTCTAATTCATTTCTTTGCAAATGCAGACTTTAATATGGCACGAGTGTGTGTAAAGTAGAACAAGCTTGAATTTAATGATTGACTTTCTACAATATGTTGTATACTGCTTTGAAGACACATATATGCTGAATATGTCTACTCAAAGTCTTAAAATGTTCACACCAAGTGCATAACTGAAATATAACACACAAATAGAATGTCATAATACATAAATCACCTCATTTTTTAAATGTGGCTCTTTTTTCTCCATAGCCCAAAAAAGGAAAAGAAAGAAAAACACCAACAAAGGAATTCATTTGCATCACAACAGTGAGGAAAATGAGGCAGGAAAAGTAGGGAGTCCTTGATTTAGATTTTCCCCTACTTTCTTGGTTTCCACTTGTCTCTCGGTTCCGGCACCTCTTCTGCCACGGGCCGGGGGTGGGGCGGAGTGTACAAAACAGCTCGCCGTTTGCCTACAATTTGTCTTTTCTCCGTTTCCTTGTACAAGTTTATTCTCTTCTTTAATGCCTTCATTATCCTACCGCT